ACGTTAAATTTCTGTGGGCTAGAAGATTCGACACCGGCCACTGCTTCCCGTTCCGGGTTAACTCTAGCCCTAATCTCCCAAGGATTAACGTTCTCACTATTGTAGGTGGTTCTCTATCACTCTTCCATGGTCATTGCACCAACCCTCAGTTCCACATCTAACCGTTGTCGTTTTTTTGTCTCCAGCTATGCCTTCACCTAGAAGAATCCTCCACCAGAAAATACGTTGTCGCCTACATGCGCTTTTTTCAAAGTCACATTATGTAAGCATTTAACTTCCGCAGATAGAAATTACATATTGTCCGTTATCTTCCCATACATGCAATTTTAATACTTGGAAACCACTTCGTTTGGCCTTTGAGGCAGTTACCCTGATAATAAATTATTTTCCAAATATGTTTTAATTGGCCTTTGAAGAGACGATCTTGGCAGCTGTTATCGTCCCCTTCTCTTTTCAAACATCATTGCCAACTGCTGACAACCTTGATGCGTTTCTCAGTTTCGCAACCCTGCCAATGGTCCACGCGGTCCCTGCTAATCATCGTAGCGGGTTCTTCTGTTCAGTTCACAAAGTCATATCTCCGGTATTTCTGTGATGATCTAACAACCTCTACTGGATCCTCTTCGTTTCGACCCTGTTGTCCACGATTAACTCCTCGTGTCTCGCCTTCTTAATGGTTGTAAACAGTAGGTCTGGCTGTTATATGATCTCTCCAACAACAAAGAGCGTTCCGAACTCTCAGGCGTTTTCATCAATATCACGATCCTATCTCACTGCATCGTGTCGTTCTAGCAAATATTTTTGAAAGAAGCAATTTTAGGTCCTATATTTTTAGTGGGAGAGCGTTGAACTCTGCTCCCCTCTGATTTCATCGTAAAATTTTTTCATTTCTTCTTTCTTAGTCCACCGTACTTTCCAAAGATTGTTGACCATTGTTTTAAATGACGAATCCTTGTGAATCGGATATAGTATAGGCTACCTAACATGCTGCCTATTTCTCTTTGTTTATACACCGAGGTGTAATAACCCACTTTGCATATAATTTACCCCACCATTATGTTTCATACGCGGCCTTAAGTACACAATTTGATTATTATTAATTTACGGTTCAGCGTTATTAAGAGTGTTAAACATCTCCAGCTCACTTCACTTTCATTAAGAGAAAAATAAACAAACGTCTTTGAACTCCCCTGTTGGTGACACAGCAACTGAAAAATGCGTCAATACGGTAGAGAACTTCAGTGATCGTTTACATGATCGGAGTCGAAAAGTGCACGGCCGTTTGTTAGTGGTCAATTGTAAACGTACACGACTACTCACTCATCAAAAAAGGTATGATTGCAGTATAATACCTCGGCTCATTTGCGATGCCAAATGACACGGGCAAAATTAAAAAGAGCTCACAGCAAAAAACTCATTGCGCAGTTTTCGGAAACTA